AAAATTATAAAATCTTATCGTAAATTAGGTATTTAAAAATTTTTTTTAAATATTTTTATTGAAAACTACGCGTGAAAACAAAACTTTTCATTATAAAAACGTCCAATTTGATCAATTTTTGACCGAGTTATAAGCATTTAAAAAAAAATTACGTTAAGGTATTAGTCGCGTAAAATGGTTTTCGTCAGAATTTTTTCAAATTTTGCATACTTATTCCTGGAGTATTTATCTACAGAATGAGACCAATTTCATTAATTTTGACCGTTTCAAAGCTTCAAAAAATGAATTCAAAGTTCATACATTTTGCATGGAGGAAGCACCCTATGCATGTATTGATTTTGTTTAATAATTATTTATATGATAACTAATCGTCAGATTTTAAAACAAAAGTACCAAAGTATTCAATTAGATGAAACAAATAAATAAAAAAAAGATGACATTTTTTTACCGCGCCAAACTATAAATAGTTATTAATAGTTATTAATTGTTATTTTTTTAACTTTCTGTCAATAGACAGAAAGTTAAAAAAATAACTAAATTATTTGAATTTTCATACGAACGAATAGAGTGGGGAGTTAAACTATCACACTCACTCTCACTGCCCCACTCTAGTAAGCGGCCCGGTAAACTTTTGACCAGAGCCAACTCCGTGACTAATACCTTAAAAACGTCATTTTTCAAAAATCTGTATCTTCTGAACCGCTTTATGAAAAAAATTTGAAAAAAATCAAGGTAGCTCATTTCAAAGAGTACTAAAAGAAAAAAAATGTTAAAAAACAAATTTAAGATGCAAAAGCAAAATAATTTCCGATTTGGCCTGGAATGCCCCATACATTAATCGATTTGTTTTCATGTCAGGAATGTAATTTTGACAAGAATTAATAAAAATATTAATAGATAAAAAAGTTATTTATAAAAATACAAAAATCATCGATTTTTTTCAAAAATTCAAAAATTGCTAAAAAATATTTGTTTCGATATTTTTGAAGATCCTTTTGTCTGATTTTAGGTGTTTGTGACCGTAATACTCCTGAGTATTGATTCACCTTCCAAATTTTATCAAAATAAATTAATAAAAAATAAAAAAAATTTTTTAAACTTAAGTTTGAGTGCGGACTATCTAAAAGTTAATATTAAGAGCTCAAATTTTTAGGGAATTTTTTTTTATTAATTTGGAAGCATTTAAGCCCCTGGGAGCAAAGAAATTCGAAAAAAACCTTTTTAAGGACCACCCTAATGTATATACAGATATGACTTATAATCAATTTCGTGATTTATGCTCAACATGTTGGAATTCTGATAGATATGGGTTTGTTGTTATAGACAAAGACCGAAATTAAAATGAAGGAAGATATAGAAAAGGTTTCGATTGCTTATTCAGTTATAAGTATCTATTGGTTTACAACTTTCATTAGTATAATTTTAGACATCAATATATATTAGCATGTTTCGGAAAGAACGAGAAACGCTTCATGAAATAGCAAAAGCAAGTGATGCTATACGCAAGGAACATCGTATACTTAAAAGTGGTAGAGAGACTGCAGAAAATATATTGAAAGAAACTTTTCAACCATTAGTTACTCCATTGGAGACATTGGTGAATAGAAATTATAATCCAATCAAGAGTGAAAATGTATCAAAAATAAAAAAGGAAGAAGAAGATGATGAAGACTTTGAAACAACATTCAAGACTGCTGTTAGTGATGATGAACCATTTGATATACCTGCATATAATAACTATACATTTGATGATCCTATATGGGCAAATCCATAAAACTTTTGACTTTTAAGAAAAAAATTTTTTTTTATTAATTTGTATGCACATAGATGTCACTTTGCATACGTATTCAAGAATGTTTTAGCACCACAAATTCGTAAGCGTGATTCATTTTTAACCCATGCCCCCAATGTTTAACACTTATTATTAACCCCTTCCGGAACTGAAATATTATAAAGTGAACAAAAAATGTGTAAGACCTTCCCATCAATTAAATCAGTTGAAACTTTTTACTCGGAGGTTTTTGGGGTCGCCGCTGGACAATCTGAAGTCGGTTTTTTAAAATTCAAAATGGCGGCTCCATTATGACGGATGACAAATTTAAATAGTTGGATTTGATTTAAACTCGTTACTCGGGGGTCTTTGGGGTCGCTGATTATGAATTTAAAGTTTAAATTTAAATTTAAAATGATTAATTAAACTTTTTGATTTTTAAGAATTCAACTTCTGAAATTTGAAGCATATTCTTAACTTAATAAAATTGATAGTTTTCAAAATCCTTGAGCGGCATACTTTTTTTTTAAATATCTGTAAGGCAATGCTTCGATCACACTATACATGGACTTGTTTAAAGTAAAATGGTAGTTGTGCCTTTCAAAAATATATAAATTTAAATAATATCACGATTTGTATTGACATCTTTAAATTGTTTCTACAGGAATACAAATATAGGCACACTAATGAAAAAGGTCTTAAAATGTTCGATTTTTTATTGTCTATTTAAAAACTTATTGAACTTTTATTTTTATTCTACGCCGCACTAGGTATTTTCATAAGAATACGTTTAATTAAATTTTCTTAAAAAATGTCATCATTTAATCAAACCTTCATATATTTTCTTACAGTCGTAGCACACTAATGGGATAGTGAAAAAAGTTTGAAAACATACGTCTCTTAGCTATTTTCCTTGTAGCTGAATTAATATTTCACACGCCGCAAAAATAAAAACGTTAAAAATGTATACTTTTCTGAGAGTTTCAAATGAAATTTAAGCGTTTTTTCAATTTTAAACTCATAAAATTAATTGACAAATTAATATTTTGTTCTAATACTGTACATAAATGTTGTTTAGTTAATAATTTAGGAAAATATAATTAAACAATAAGTTTCAATCTAAAATAATACAGACTTTTAAGTGTTCGATTCGAGTATCATAAAAGTTAACAGTTTCGTGGATTTGCCCATATCTGAAGTAGAAGATTTACAAAATATAAAAAGTAGAAATATAATTGATAACTTATCAAATCAAGAGTATCAAGATGTTATACATGAGCAAAACGATATGTTAAATGATAATTTAACAGTTCAAGAGTCTTATGAGCAGAATAATATACAACAACAACAACAAGATTCCGACAAATTAACAAATAAATTCATAAGATTGTTGAATCAAAATAGAAAACAATATTTGGATATGGTTTACGGAGTGCGGAAAGTTAAAGATAGAGGTTTCATGATAGGTAATACAGAAATTAATTTTGATGGTCCTCTGATAGACTTAGGTGGAAAGAAAAAATATACTAAAACAGATGGATTACTAGAACTTTTATTTAAAGAAAAACCTAATGAAGATTCTATAAGTTCAGATGATTTAGCCAACTATAAAGAAATATTACAAGCTACTAATGCACATAGAAGAAATTATAGTCCAAATAAACCTATTCGTACAAACAATAGTTTTAAATATACAAATGTTATTGCAAAGCTTTATCAGAAAACTGGAGAATCTTTACAGAAAAAGAATTTATTACCGCAATCTATGTTAGTGAAAAAAGAATCATATTCAGACTACATCTACTGGGATGATCCAAATGAACTTGTTGGTCGTTTACGATTACTTATAGCATCACGACAAGCTGGAAATCCGAGTCATAACAATAAAATTATGAGTATTATTGAAGAATTACGTGAAAGTAAAATTATATATTAAGTGTGTGTATATAAACTTTGAATCAGTATTGTGTTGAGTATTGATGTATTCATATATACCTTAAAATGGATGACAAAAAGTTAACAGTTGTCACAGAATTACATAGACAAGCTAGAAGAAATTATCCACGTCGTAAAGTACAAATGCGTGGTGTGGATGAAACATGGCAAGCAGATTTGGTTGAAATGATACATTATTCGAAAGTTAACAAAGGATTCAAATATATGCTTACTGTTATAGATATATTTTCCAAGTATGCATGGGCAGTACCTGTAAAAAGTAAATCTGGGAAAGATGTTTCTACTGCTATGAAATCTATACTCAAAGATGGACGTATACCAAAAAATTTACATACTGATAGAGGCAAAGAATTTTATAATTTAATATTCGAGAATTTAATGAAATCATATAAAATTAAACTGTATTCAACATATAGTAATTTGAAAGCTTTAATAATTGAAAGATTTAACCGAACACTTAAAAATATGATGTGGCCTAAACTCTCTCTAATTTCAAAGTATAGCAACCAGAAACATCGAACTATTGGTATGAAACCCAAGGATGTCAGGAAACAAGATGAAAAAGAATTATTGAAACGTATCTCAAAACAGAGAAAAATTTTATCTAAAAGAGCAAAATTCAAAGTTGGCGATAGAGTTCAAATAAGCAAAAATAAACATATTTTTGAAAAAGGATATACACCAAACTGGACAACTGAAATATTTACCATCTCTCAAGTTAAATCAACAAAACCAGTAACATATAAGTTGAAAGATTATCAGGATCAACCAATCGAAGGTGGTTTCTACGAAGAAGAAATTTCTAAAGTGAAATATTCAGATATATATCCTGAATCCTGATATAACCTGAATCTTGAATAGAATAAAGATATTGTCTAAAAAAAACCTTTAGACAGGTTTTAACCTGACTGTAGATGAGAATAAAGACATTTTTAAAACAAATTTCAAACAGGTTTTAACTTGATTTGAAGATAGAAAAAAAGTTAGAAATGGTTTAAGAATTTATTTTTACTTGTGTGAGTTATAAAATCAGCATTACTATTTAAAATTAATTTAATATTAAGTTAATATAATATTGAATAATATGTAAGCTAATTATACAAGGTTTTATTAAAATAAAGTAGACATAAAATTGGTAACAAATTTTTGGTTTATTAATAATCTTCATATTTCACCCATCCAATATTTACAATATATATATATATAATACTATAATATAAATCAATATAACATCTAATATATAAATACGTAGAATATATGAAACAATAAATATTTAAACTTCTAACATCACAACATCATTATTATCACAATCATTTTCATCGTTTTTGATTTTATAATGCCCCCAAGCAAGAGTGTCTGTACTGTTTTCTAATAAATATCTTTTATCGTCAAAAGGACTCAATGCTATTTTTGTCTGTTTTAGTGTATGTACATTGTCGAGTTTTGATCGTATAGAATATTGTACTCTAGTTTGTATTTTAATATTCTTTAGACAGTACATGTAATCATCGAAAGAAATAGATTTTTTCACAACTACCGTCTTGACACCGTTTGCTTTTTTCATAAAATCTTCTCCGTCCACACGAATACTATACATTTTACTTCGTAAGCCAACAAATTCTGTTATTATTCGTCCATTACACTCATCTTTCATGAGTCCTAAGACTTTTTTGTTAGCTTGCGGAATTCCATATATATTATCAGCAGGATAATCAGATGTATCAAATTTACAAATATCTGCTTTCATATCAGAGTAGATATCTGTACATTTAATTTTATAAATAAGGCTGTCAGTATCAGTGTAGAGCAATTTACAATTTTTACCATACTTGTTTCTCATGTATTTATAATGAAAATCATACATCAATGTTTTAGATATGTCCAAAACGCTGAGTCCAATATAGATGGGTTTATTCATAAGCACTTCCGTTTTGTTAAGCTCCACAGCAACCAAGTTTTCATTGAAAATAGCTCGTTTGTGGAAGTTTGGTTTTGAAATAAGAGCCTCTGCTCCATACCTACCCTCCCATTTTGTTACAAGTTTTACATCAACACGTTTTCGTACATTCTGCATTGTCTTGCCATAAACTGCATTGTTCATAAGTTTGAAGAGATTTTTTTCAAACTCATTTTTGGCATCTGTTCGCAACTTGGTATTAAAATCGATATACTCCTTCAACCATGGAGATTGTTTAAATTTTAAAACTCGATGAATTTGAGTAAGTTTAAGACCACTCTCTATTGCTTGTTGAAGTGCACGATAATGGAGAATATACTTTTGTTTTGGTAGGAGGGAAGTAAGCAATTTCTCTTGTTTCGATCCAGGTGGCTTTGAGTGTTCTGGACAAAATGGTAAGTCACTATGACTTTCATGTAGATCATGCGGATATTCTAAATCAACTTCTAATATATAACCAAAATTTGAATCATTACCGATATTATAGTTAAAAGATCTATCTACATCATTTACCCACTCAAAACCACCATAGGGAAGTGCTTGAATCATAGCCCAACCATAAAGGTTATTAGCATCCAAATATACGATGTAAGATGAATCTTCATTTTTATTATAATTTTTCATGTACAGATTATTGGCATGAGCATATCTGTTTGAACATTGGCTAATCCCCCCTCTAATGCCACTTTCAACAAACATAACCATATCAATATCTGTAAGAAGTTCCAACTTTTCATTTGTATATTTTAATATGGCATCCCAACTAAGTCCAGGTGTTGTATAATAATAAGCTGGATCTAATTCATATGCTATAAGACATTGGTCTCTGAAATTCTCAAAAACATCTGCGAGTAGTAAAATATCAGTTTTCATGTACAAATATACATACTCGTAGAGATATTGACAATTAAAAGCAGACCAAACCGTTTGTGCATGACGATAATCTTCATCACTTACATGAGAATCATTTAGGGTACTGTAAAATTTCTCTTTTGGCGGTAGTTGTGTCTCGTTTAATTTCGATCTACTGTCTAAATACTCATATGGAAAAATTCCTTTGCGTGTTAATAACTGAGTCTTATTAACATCATAAGACATCATAAGTGATCATCATAAGACATCATAAGACGTCATCATAAGACTCAAATTCGAAATGTACTATTGTATATTTTGACAGATATGAAGCCAATTTATCCAAAGATGATGCCATGAAACGAAATGAGTTAATGAATTTAAATTTTATACTATTTTCTGGGAGGTGTTTTGTGATTAATTAATTATTTGAAAAAAATACTTTTGCTTATCACTTAAAACTTCCATCGGAATGATAGTTTTAAATATAGGCTCAAGTCTCTCAGTAACTTGTTTCAATTCATGAGAAAACTATTTCGCTGCATTTTCTTCATCAATGGGAGATGCTTTGTATATAGATTTTGTATTGTTACATCTTTGTTCACTACATTTGAGATAATATCCAATGCTTAAAAGTTTATGGTTTTGAATAATTTCTGTATTACCTCCCATAGATGAAGAATGTGTTTTAGGAAGTAATAAGCTTTCGCAGTCTGCATATATGATAAATGGAGCACGCTCCTTATTTGAAATGTTTTTAAATTCGAGTTTATTTTTTCTGGTTGTGGTAAAATAATTTTCATTTTATTTAAAAGGGAACAAGTTAATGTATGTGTAGAAAGTTTATCTTGACTATGAAAATAATGCAAACAGCGATCGCAAATATACTTCTTATGTTCCTTTTGTGATAACTGAGAGCTAACAAGTCGTGATAAATTTCTAATCCAAACATAATGATATTTAGTTTTTGCTTTGTCCACCTCATGATTATTGTAATTGTCTTGAATTAATAAAAACTTAACATGCTTTTCTTTTTTGATTGAAGTTATATGTAGTGGAACTACATTAAATTCATCATCATTCTTTGAACGTTTGTTTCCTTTAGGAATTTCAACACCATATACATTAATAGAAATAGGGTTTTGTTTTTCAAATTTTGAAATATCAGAAAGTATCGACCACTTGAAGCATTCGTTATCATTGTTCCGAACATTAATGCAAGCTTTTTCTTGTTAAATAAACTGAGATAAATCTATAAAAGAGCCAGTCTTCATGGGATTGTATCTATTAAAATTTACATCTAATCTTTGAATTGAATCAAGTCGCCAATTTAAATCTTTTTCTTCAAAATCTTCACAAAGGCGAAGCGTTACTTGTTTAAAATTTTCATTATTCAAAACATCTAAAGGAGTTGTAGGAAAAATTTCTTTCGTACTAGCAATGAAGGTTTTTGTATCAAAAACTGTAGTATTATCAGGTAGAACTTGTTTATACATAGCAACAAAAACTGTGTATACTTTTAATGGACTCGTTCTACCTGATCTTTAAAAACTGAATAAGCATCATCTAAGAACTCATTGACATCTAAATGTGAAATATTAATAATACTTCCATCTTGAAGTCTATTGTTAAAAGCTCTGTTAGTAACTACCCATTTAATTTTTTCATTTGAGTTATCTATTCCAGCTCCATGTTTGTTAGTTTGTGCAATTTCTATAATATTATCTAACTGGCATTCATAAAATTTAAGTTGTTTTAGCAAACTATTAATTCTTTTATTATTATGAGAACCCTGAATTATGTAGCGTTTAGCGAACTTTGATAATATAGCTAAGTGTGCCTTACACTTTTTATGCCACTCAGAAGCTATTTTCAAACGAGCATTAACTTCTTTAGATACAATAGATCTCAATTCAACCTGGATAACGTCAATGAAAGTTTGTGAGACCTCACAAATTTCATCAACGCTATCTTGAGATAATAATACTCTTCCCTCTACTCTTTCGTCTACTCTTTCGACTACTCTTGCGTATGGCTTGACTACTATATGATTGTTAGATTTTCGTTGAGCCATGATAACATAATAAAAAAAATTATATACTGAAACAAAGAAGCAGAAGCTGAAACAAAGAAGCAAAAAAATGTTGTCCACCGCTAAGTCTACTTCTTCCGTGACGTTAATGCGAGAAGGAAAGAGAACCTTGAAGGAGTTGATCTGCAAATTATTGTAAAGAAACCTTCTAATCTGAAACATAATAATAATAAATTCCGTGTTAATAATTTAAAATAATTGATAATATAATACATATATAGTTTAAAATACTTACATAAAAAAGTGAGTTGATGAAACCCTTAGACAAACGTCTTCCACTGAATCTGTTTCGAATATTGAATCTGTAAAGAAAATTTTATGTATAAAATGGTTGCTGATTATATTTAATATTATAAAAGTAATTATTGAAACCTACATCAAAATGAACTCCTTTTCCTTTGTTTCTCAAACACACACAGCAATCTGTAATTAAAATATACAGAATCCTTTTCCAATGCCTGGTTAAACCTCTACTCGTATAAGCTATCACTCTAGGTCTGTTGAATGCTATTACTGCAGTGGTTGAATGACCGGTAATACTCTACTGCTGGTTTACTATGAGCTGTAATTCTGTAATTCTGGTGCTGGAGGTGGTGTTGGATCTGGAGATGTTATTGAAGCTAGATCCTGAAACAGAGTGACGGTCCTCTGTTCTGGGACTACCCGAGGTACCTTCCTCCCTACCACAAGTTATATTTCCACCACTGTCGCTTCTCCCACTAATATTTCATCTACTGTTATACTAGCGTCCTCTACATAAAATATTGAAGATATAATAAAGTATTCAGAAGATAAAGTAGAACTCTAATGGTAATATCTATAGTTATACCTTTGAAAGATAATTTACTTACAGTTAATAACTATACCGGCGGAAGGTAATATATCTATAGAAGATAATTTTTTCACGATTGAGTAATGTACACTCCGAAATTTTTTTGGGTTTAACCCTTTTTTAACATATTTTAACCCTTTTTAAGGGGTTACGTACAGTTAGAGCTTTAAAAAAGCTGTTTTTTAGGAATTTTTTGTGGACACACATTAAAATAATTATTAACAAATCTTATTCCACATAAAATATATATATTTCAAGAAAATTTTCTGAAATTATAGTCCATAAATATAAAGAAATATGCGAATGATAGAATATTTGCGTGAGCTCCTTAAATGAAAATGGTTCGCGGTGATCACGCTATCTCTTGACTAGATCATCTAAAATCAAATCGTGAAGAAGAAATCGTTAGGTAATGATATAATGCGGTACTTGAACGAAGGGATTTAAAAAATTTTGATTTTTCGCAAAATGGCGGATGTTGAAAGTCAAAAATTGTTTTTTGACCAAAATTTTACTCACATTTTCGGCTTTACAAAAAAAAATTATTGTAAAAAAAAATCCTTTGTTCAAGTACCGGCCAACTATATAACAAATAAGTGGTAAAAATTTAAAACCGATCGGTAAAGCCGTTCTCAAGTTACAGTGATCACCGACTACCAAAACATGGTTTTAAGAAAAACGAGTTCAAAGTTTTGAATACTGCCGCCTGGCCACAGTAACGGCTGAGTCGGCTGCATTCATAATTCTATATCTCCATAAATAATAGTCTGATTTGTCTCAAATTTTCAGAGAATACTTTTGAAATGGTATACTTTTAGAAAATGCATTTAAAAAAAATCGATTTTTTGAAAATCCTAAGTGTACGTAACCCCTTAACATATTTTAAACCCTTTTTTAACATATTTTAACCCTTTTTTTTTAACCTTTTTAACATATTTTTTAACACTTTTGAACCCTTTTTAACATATTTTAACCCTTTTTCAACCTTTGCAACATTTTTTCAACCCTTTTTACTTTTTTTCAATTATTTTTGTTATTTATTTATTTATTCAAACACGTTTTATATATTTTTTAATTTTCATTCTTTATTTATTAAAACATGCTTTACATACATACATTTTATTTATAAAACATAAGAAAACAGATAGTTATAAAAGTTTTATATTTGAATTTTTTTAAATTAAAAATTGAAAATATAAATTTAGTTATATTTACATTTCTATTTTTTACAAAAAAACTTCTTTTTTTAATCACACCTACTTTTTTTATATTTACATATTTATTTTTACAAAAAATTTCTTTTTTTAATCCCATCTACTTTTTTTAACCTTACGTGGTATATCCCACCTACTTCTTTTAACTCTATGTGTCATTTTCCAAGCTTCCGGATCATCTTTAGTGTTTCTTCTTCAAACCTCCAGGTGAATTGTTTTTAATTCGGATATTCGTTTCAAGTTATTTTTCCTGGGGTCAATTGGTTTTAATTCGGATATTCTTTTCAAGCTATTTTTCCTGGGATCTTCTTTATTTTTTTTCCAAACCTCCGGATCAATTGTTTTTAAACTGCATATTCTTTCAAGGGTATTTTTCCTAGGATCCTCAAACATTTTAAAAACTACAACACCTCCAGGTTTGAATATAATTTTCTGTAAATAAACAATATTTGTATTATTAAAATAAAACAAATATTAACTTTTTAAATTTGATTTCAAAATATTAAATAAAAATACATACCATTTTATAGTATCAAAGGATTCTTATTTTTTTATTATAAAAATAATAGTCTTCACTATCTTTTTATTATGAAAATAATATTCTTCAATATATTTTACACTAGAACTACTATTTTCACTACGAGAACACTTTTAATGAAAAGAATATTTTTCACGAAGAGAACAGTTTTAATAATATTAATTAGTTTTTAATAATATTCTTCAATATATTTTACACTGGAACTACTATTTTCACTACGAGAACACTTTTAACGAAAAGAACAGTTTTCACGAAGAGAACAGTTTTCACAATGATAGGTAGACTCAAAGTATATCCGGAAAAATTTCCAAAAATTTACCCATACCCCAACCACCCACCCACCAACATATTTAAAGTCTGTAAAAAAAAATTTGAAAGTTTCAAATTTTTTTATGATAGGGTTCACAGGTAGCTGCAAAATTGAAAAGAACAGTTTTTTCATGAAGAGCACAGCTTTCACAATGATACGTAGACTTAAAGTATATCCGGAAGAATTTCCAAAAATTTACTTTCCCTAACATATTTAAAGATTGTAAAAAAATTAGAAAGTTTCAACTATTTTTATGATAG